ACGCCATCCCCTGCTGGGCCATCAAGGTACACATTTTTATTGTGTATTTGACTAAGAGTGACCTATTGCGGTAAAAACGATCTCTGGCATGTGCCCAGCCCAAGTCTTCAGGCGCGCGGATAAAACGTTGAAATTTCCCACCGGGAAATAACTCCGTAACCCTGGCACCCCCCAGGGCTCTTATCGTGTTCTAACAAGGGGTCCAGAGCCTAGACTCGGTTCCCCAATTCCTTAACTCCAAGCCAACACCGGTAGCGTGGTAAATGACATCAGCCTCAGTGGGTTGTAGACTTGCTTACCCCTACTAAGCAGGGCTATAACACAGGGGATCCGGTTATAGTTGATATTTTTCCACTAATCACAGTACTTTCACAGCTGCGCAAATTGGAAGACAGACTGCCAGCCAAGAGTTCCAGAAAAAGATCTGTGTCGGATCGCTGCATCTTTTTCCTGCAGGGTTCAGATGGTAGCTTGGTTCAATTGGAGAACAATAGAAGAACTACGAGTTAGCTGTTAACGGCCAGATCGGATTTCTTGGTTCAAAATTATAAGTCGACTAATCCGGACTGGTCAACATTGTATCCATCGCTGCTTCCGGCTGCCTATGCACCCACCTGCGGCCATCTCTCAATAGGTCAAGTCGAGCTTTACATCCGGCACAATCAGGGTGGCATGGAAATTTATAGTTTGCTATGTGGAGGTGCATTCCACCTGCAGCAACTCCGCAAGGGACGTTTCAGTTTTACGGGCATATCCATCAGGATGTAGACTGCATTCTCGTCCTTAGGATATGATAAGGTTGCATCATTTGAATGGCATATTCAGCCATGTGTGCTCCAGGCTGGACTGGATTCTGCCGTCTTGAATACCTCCCCGGAGTGAGCGCATCTTCTCAGAGGCTCAGGGGCGTGAAAGTAAACAATCCCTTGCCTCTGCAGCTCCGATTTGGCGCAATTGAGACCCATGAAGATTGCAGCTTCAGAGCCGCAATTTATCTCACATGGCATATAGAACAAAGGAAAACCTATTGCCTTATTAACAAGCAACCAGCACCTCAATTGAGTCGTGAGGGGAAGCCTGTCAAGGTTGCATCGCCCCTCACGGCCATGCCAGAAGAGCTGCCTCTTCTTTACCAAGTCCATCTCCTGGCTTCTGGTCTAATGCCGTGTAACATCCACGAATTGTACTGTGCCTGGGATACACGACGGCCACCCAAGTTAGTTCCCAAACGCAGGCCAGGTTGATCGTTCCTGACAAAGTGACAGGACCTCTCAATCCAAGTCCGTTACATCGTTACTGCATTTCGGAACGTCCCAACTTCCCGCTTAAGCCGCCCGCCGCTGCGCTCCCCCTACCTCTACCACCCTCATACTTCCGGAACGCAGGGCACCAGCATCCGCGGTTGCGCGGGGATGGGGTGAACTCGGTCAAGCTTTGCATGCTCCTCAAATCCTAGTCTGCATACGCAAGCGACCCGATCTCCGACCTCACCGTGTTGTATAACCTCCAGGATCTACACAGGCATCTATATTTCTTGGATATTCCACACCATCTCGCACTAGGTATGCAACCTCGCACTACATCGGTACTCGGCAAGCAAGCCAGTTGGAGAAACCCAGCATCTGATGAATGCGTGAACAAGACGCCCACACCAATCTCTGTACGAGCAATTACCCATTGTTTTCATTCCCATAATTGGTTACATGTGGCATTTCGGCCCGTTGATTCTACCGTTTGCTCCATAGGAGCTCGTCGCACACTCCTTCGCGTTACTCAAGATTTCGAGAAGAAGCCATAGATTATGCCGTGAGGCCGCCGGCCAGCCGGACGGGCTCGAAGCAGCGGAGTTTCTCTCGCTACAGCGGGCCCGGCTCAACTGCCTGTCCTCTGACGACGGCACGGTATGTATGGTAAGGGGCCTGGCCACCGACGATCACAACGGTGGGTACAGGTGAAGGCTTCTCAAATTGTCTAAGAGCTTGATCTGGATAGTTGGAAAGCAGTTTCACATGCATTTCTGCACCCCTGATGTATGTAGGTCGGCCGTGGCTGATGCTAGGTTCGGTAGGCAAGTTCAACCGCTAAAATCCATTCTCTTCTGTCGTATGATCGATAGCCGATATAATCCCCATCAGCCAATGGTTGGCTGTGTCTGTCAGTCTTAGACCGATCTAAGACGATATAGTTCAAGCCCGCCAAACGTTCGCGACAGTCCCCCTTTGACGTGATGCTACATGCTGCTTTACTGTGCGGCATTTGACAAGCTCTAATCACATTAAATCATTGTGCGCACGCAGATCACAAAGCTGCTTGGTGCAACTGCGGAGGATATTCTAAGGCCACACCCCTCATGAGACTCTGGAGTGATGTTGACAGTCATTAGGTCATTCCTTCATATGTCTATCGTGTTAGTGCAGAAGTTCCCTACTTGTTCTCCAACAGGCCTACACGGTTCAGAGCCTATGGCGATGCCTAGAAACTTGATAACAAGATTAGTTACACCGCAAATTTCTACACTTGAAACAGATCTCCCCAGACTTGATAGTTTATGCACTGCCATTATGGCCTCTCACCAGTATTACCGCGGAAAAGTGGTGTGAATGGCAATTCCCTGTTGTTCTTTAGTCCACCTCAAAGACTTAACAGGTTCCTATTCATTGCGCACATAAGGTCGAACGCGGCCAGGATGTGCAATCAGCATCGGGACTTGATTGCCACTTTTCAAAACAATCACCCATAGCGCTTCACTGTGGATGATCTGAACGGGAGGACTAGCTTGAGACAGTCGTCCGCCAAGTGTCTATTATTCACCTCATAAGAAATTATTTCTTAGTCTTTCAACTGAACTGGAAAGAAGTGTACCAGGGGTACCAATCATAAGGCGGCTGGTTGGGCGAAGACAAGGCTTTATTTGATGTTTCCAATAATGGTACGAACATTTGGTTCTCTTAGATTGGCAAGAAAACAGTTGATGTCCTTTTATTCCCATCATATTCAACTCCCACATCGTTCCGGCATACTCTCAGTTCAGCTAGAAATTCCTGGCGGAGGTAAAAGCAATGGCAAAGAGAGAATTCAGAGCATCCAACGGTTCTCAATGTTTCGCTCGTAAAACGTATTTTGCTCGTATGCATACTTGCCTTAACGTAGTGTTGTGAAATCAATAGGACTGAGGGTGTAACTCTATGTAGCTGTGGAAACTGAGACCACTATCCTGCTAAACAGTAAGGAATCTATCCAGGGATGAGATGGGGTACTCATTGTGCATTTCTTGGAGGTCCGTACTTAATCTAAAAGCGAGGAGAGGCATACTTACCAGATATGGTGACAGTAGCCCTCTATTTCTCATACGATATGGACCTCCAAGGAGACGCCACTCCCCGAATAAGGGAATCAGAGCTCTTCCTCTGCATAATCATATTACTTGTAGAAATAAGAATGGCATTCAATCGTATAGTACCGCCGCAGCAAGCAGACAGCTTCTGATAAAAGTCACCTCGCTGACTTGAGTTGATAACATTCGGGTAGACACCATGTACCAGTGACAAACACCAACTCGCAGATATTCGACAACAAATATGTTATCGACTGATATATACTTCTCCCATCTTGCAGCTAAGCGCGTCGGCGATGGTCTCGAGGGATGCTACTTCCTTACAATCAGTCATTCATACATTCCGACATGTACTCATGGTGAGTGCTATTGACCCAAAGCAAAATTTTCTGTGGTTCCAGCGAAGGTCGAAGACTGTGGTTGTCAGAAAGAGCTACACAATATCACGAAATTTGTTACCAGTTCTGTCTGCGATAACCCTCTTACAGTACCGAAAATGACGATAGAGGACACAACTTGTCATATTCACCGTCACTTCAGCCGGTTCTGAGAGATTCAAAGCCGCGTCCAGGACTGAATAATCACCGGTCGCAGGCCCTGGCTTTGGTTAGGATATTCAAAGATGTGATGAGTACACGCTTGTCTCCGTATATTCCAATTTTCAGGCTCACACTGAGTGTACGCCAGCCGACCTGAGAAACACTCGCCGCCACCAGATGGCTTGCATGTCAATGAAGTTAGACCTATTGGATTTTGTGAAGGATACTCTTATAAAGTTGCGGCAAATGTACCTTTCATAGCTCTCGGGAAGAGAGATACGCACTACCTTATCACAAGCCATTCCTCACTGATGAAGACTCGACTCTTGACTCTGGAAGATCCTGGGATGCAAATACGTGGCCATGACCACGCCGCTAAGCAGAACATACAGCACCTTGGACTGATATCCAGCTATTACACGACGATTAGACGTTAATTTCTAACCTGGACGATTCAGAAAGGTTTCCTGACCAGACTGGTTGCGCCATTCTCGCTGTTTCTGCTCAGAGGTCGGTGCTCTGATGATGGGCCCATTGCTGGTGGAGCGTACGCACGGTCCAGTAGCTTAACGTCGACTGGTTGAGGGCACCCTGCGGCACTTGTGGCACCTGCCATCCAACATCATCAGTTCCTTCTGCGAGAAAAGTTGACCTGGAATATCAATCACCGGGCAACGTATCTCATCAATGCGGCGTTCAGTGAGCGAGTTTCTCATCGCAATACTATCTCCTCATTGAAAAACAACACAGCCTTTGAGATCAAGTCAAAGCTTCGATAGGAACCCGCCTTATCATTGATTCTAGCTCAATCACGCCAGCTGCCTGGCAGCGACCGAAGCGCAGCGGCCTCAGTGCTGTGAGTACAGGTAAGAACGGCTCTGATTGCATCCCGATTCCCGCCTTTTACCTGTGACTCACGATCATTCCATCACATAATCTGAGTACAGCGGTTTACTGGGGATATTTTATTCGAGAGCCTCTTTTTGTCGCATCGGCCGAGGTGACTGCTGTCTCATTCAGCTTGGCAACTTTCTGAGTGCTCTCTCTGGAGCCGACTTCTACGTGGCCAATATGATTTCACAACCTGCAAAGCTGCCAAGAACTAATCCGAACGACAGACAATCAAGATGGCCTCCGAATCCCATGAAGGAACCAAATTCTCCTGGCTGTACGTCTGCAACCCATATAGCTCTCTTACAGGCAGCCCGCAGTTCACTAAACATGCGCTAGCGAGCCACATCCCTTGTTCGCCATCGTCCTCGTTGGTCCCGACGAGACGCCCTTTGGAATCCAGAAGGACTTCCTGTGCGCCAAGTCAAAGCATTACCGCGAGTATTTCTCTGGACAAAGTGAGCAGCAGCTCGAAAGCATTATCAAGCTACCCGAGACGTCGGCCGAAGTCTTCGGCCTGGCACAGAGCTTCCTCTATACAGGCAAATTCTGCTCTGAATCAGAGACTCTTCCCGGATACGATGTGCTCATTGCAGTCTGGAAATTAGGGGATCAACTCGGTATCGAAGGCCTCTGCGAGGAAGCCCTCGAGGCCATGACAGAATGCCGACGACTCACCCACAGTATACCAGCCACGCCTTTGCTTGTGCAGGTGTGGAAGGATACACCGGAGGGTTCTGATATTCGCAAGCTCTTGCTGACGTGGGCCGCGGAGTATATCCGTTCTTCAGAGTCGCGCAGTGAGTTCAGCAAGTCGCTGCCGCAAGAAGTACTCAGTGAGCTTGTCGTCGCGATGAGCCATCTCAATTCAACACCCGTCATCCAGGTCAGTAGTACGTCGTCAGCCGACGGAACGACGCAGCGCAAGAATGTCCACTATCTTGATGCCGACGAGGATGACCATGTGCGCCGGGAGAAAGCAGCAAAACACCGATATTCCGATGCAGGGCCGAGAGGGTCCGCCGAAGAAGATCAGAAGTCTAAGCCGGGACGCAAACCAGGACCGCGGACTTCGTTACCTAACATCAAGCACGTGAAAAGCCGCAAAACAAGTCTGAACTTCTCCGGAGACTTTCAACCAACAAAGGAGCAGAAGCTCAATTTCTGCGCCGATCTCTTGATGCGGATGCTATCTGGTCCAGGCAAGCAAATATATTGCAGTCAATGTGAGCGTATTGAGCCTGTGCTAACTAGTGCCAGGCTTCTGGACACGCCTGGTCGGTCCTTTCCGCGAGGCAGTCAAACCAGTGGAGGATGGCGTGCCTGACTACCTTGATAAGGTCTCCAAGCCTATGGACCTCGGCACTGTCAAAAGCAAAATGGACAACAAAGAGTACAACGATGAGGAGGAATTTCTGGCCGATATTCGCCAGATATTTGAAAACTGTTTCACATACTGGACCAGCAAAGATCCCATGTGGGCGACCTGTGTCAAGTTTCAGAAGACATTTGAGGAGAAGTACGCGGGTATGAACAAGTGGATTGCCAAGATGGACGGGGATGAGGCTGTTTAACTGTACGATTGAGTATCATATTTCTTGCCAGGTGTGTTACTAAGTGTTATCTGGACGACCAGATGTCTCGGGACGAATAAGGGTGCGCGATCACTATGGCTTTACAAAGCCTCAGTGCCGGATGGATTTAGATATTAAATATGGGGTAACCGCTAAATCTGCTCGTCATGGGCTTTCGAGTTTGTTCTGTATGCGCGTCAACAGAAACAGTTGGAGCAGAGCTTTTCTTTCTGTTGCTCGCTCTTTCTGCGGAGTAATCGGAGTCTTTGCAGGATCTGGCAAAGTTCAATAGCACACAGAACTTGTGTTATTGCTTATACCCAGTCTTGAGGCTCGTTGTGAAGAATAGTGATATGATTCACACGGCTTTTTATGGTAATTGGACATTGGGACTTCCGGTCCCGGATGTGAATCAATCACGACACTGCCTTGACAGGTTGTACGCTCTTCGACTACTAAAATCACCCCTACCATACGGTGAATTCATCGATTCGTGTAACATGTCTATATTTTGTCTCATCTAACTGGTCATGCAGTGTATCTTTATTTGTCGGATGCCCCCCAACGGCACAAGAAAATCCCAGCGCAGCTGATTTTCACCGCGACTATTTACATGCCTGGCTAGCCATTAAGCTGCCCACTACGGTAAACGAGAGTACCGGCGAAATAAGATACGAAATCTAAGTTTCAATTAGCTCTGCTCTTCTGCGGGTTTAGATCAGAATGATGTTGGAACTAATCGTATACTCACCGTTAGAATCTTGGAGATCGCAGCCTCCTCCCCGTCCTCGACGTCACTCACTTGCACCATGGCCACCAGCTTCGAGGCCGGTGGGCCTGCCGGCATCAGCATCATGGTGAACCAGAGCATGGGGTCAGAGCCCAGCACGTCGGTCCGGGACGCCAGCGCGTATACAAGCGCAATGGACACCGCGGGCCACAGCACGAAGCGAACCAAAAGTACGTACGCTACCGTGGCCTTCGGCACCCCGCTGCCGGGGCTAGATTGTTTCTGCTTGCGCGACTCGGTGACTGCTGTGTAGAGAGACACGCCGGCGACGAAGACGGGCAGCGGCACGAAGACATTGCCGATGTTCTTCAACGAAGCCGTCAGCCAGGCCGTGAAGATGCCGCCTGATGATGTTTCAGCGAAGAAGGCCTTGTGCAGCGCTGGCACCAGCCCGACAATGACGCCGGCGATGGCACCCAGGAATGGCGCGTTGAAGAAGTCCGCCAGCAGCACGAGCCACCACCTCGTTCGGGGCCCGAAGGTAGACCAACGCTTTAGTGGGATGACGTAGACCCGGCGGTCCTTGGATTCCGGCCTTGGCCGTGACGAGCGCCGGCGGATGGACGGGAAGAAGGAAGACGGGGAGGACGAGGGCTTAGGGACGCTCAGCGTGAGGTCGCGGTCCAACAACGCCGTGTGCTCGTCAGCTTCGCTGTCCGCGCCATCCTCTTGGATGCCCCTATTTTCTCCGTCTTGACCCGACTTATCTTCCTCTTCCTCGTCGTCATCCTCCGGCCCATGCTCCGAATCGATGAGTCTAGGACCCACGGCAAAGGTTAGACAGCTCGAAACAGTGGCGTAGACGAGGAAGTACGCCTTGGCCCTCTCGACGGCGGCGGCCGTGCTCTCGCCGCCGCCCTTGAGCGAGTCTAGGATGCCGGTGTCGTCCAGGGCACCGATCAGGAGCAACGGGTAGCTGGTCGAGTTGTTGAACATGACGGCGACGGTGACCCAGTCGGGCATGCCCAGGACGAGGTGGGCCAGCAGGCCCAGCAGGAAGGAGACGAGGTGGCAGGCGAGGGCCCAGACCAGCACGACTGCGTAGCTGCCACCGGCGCCGGCGTCGAGCTGCGAGCCGATCTTGACGAACAGCAGCGCCGGGAGGAAGACGCGCACGCAGATCCGCGAGATGGCCTTGGTGCTCTTGGCGTCGAGGATCCGCAGCTTGGCCGCCGCGGCGCCGTACGATATCACCAGCAGCACCGACACGCTGGCCTGGATGGCGGCCAGGAAGGACTCGAGGAGTCCGGTCGGAGCCATCTCGAGAGTATATTTGGGAGGTTTGGGACGGGTGCTACATGAGCACGCGACCAATTGGGGCGGACATAGCCAACTTGTATAGTTTATATATCAGTACCAAGAGGCTAGTGGCATAGTCTACATGGGGTCCCTGGACGACGGGTCAATTGCTCCTGCGCGGCGTTTATAACGTCATCGTATGGACGATTGGGCTGTAGTGTCAAATTGTGAAGCGCCGAGTCTGAAAAATCCCGTACCAAGAAGCCAAGTCTTTGAAATCAAGGTCCGTCGATGTCTTGGTATCTCGTTAAAATTTGGTGGACTATGCAAATGGGCAGACTTCACGAAGTTGCTGTATGCAATACATGCAAATCGTGATCTTGCCCTGGCACAAGGCTTCATTGCCGCGATGCCAAATATGTACTAGCTGCACGGTAGAGAGACTATATATGCATTCACACCAATTGCGAACTCATGCGAGTCTCAGGCCAGTCTCAGGGGCTTGTTTTGCAAGCTCCCGTTTGGTGTCGAGCATCATTTCCGCTTGCCTATGCCGTTCTTGAGCTGGACCGGGCCGTGTCCTGAAGTTGCCCGTCATATGAACATCTCACACCTAGGTGAAAGCAAGCCCCGTGAAAGCAAGCCCAAGCATGTTCATTCGCAGTTCATTCGCATTGTGATGCGTCCCTGGCTCCCTTTTGAGTTTCAGCCAGAAACTCCGTAGATCCGTCACTATCCATACACAATCGTACACATCACGCTGGCAAATCAGTTCCAGCTGACGCCAAAAAGCCTGTACTTCTTAGACCCATCACCTGATGATTTAGTGTCGGCGTTTTCAAGATAGAGGCGTGTATGCCCGGGAACATCGAGATATAGATATTTGTAGAGGAACTCGGAGCCGCCAGCACGCTTTGTGAGATGCACGTTGACCGTTCCCCGGTTGAGGGGCCCTTCCACCTGGGGTATCATGAGCATGAGGAGGTTCCAGCGGCTGATGAGTTACGTACGTAGAAGTGCAGCATTATATGCTCGTTTCCCTGGCCATCGGTCTTGTGGGTCGCCCTTCATAGTGTTGTCAGCCTATCCACCCCCATGAAGACTTAAACGCTGTGAGACGTACGCAATGGGCCGCGCGCGCCGCCATTTGTTGTATGTCTCCTCTCCGTGCGCCGTAATCTTCTTCGCATCCCCGAGCAGTGACAGGCAGGCAGGGTCCTGCTTTATGCGGTCGACGGCGCGGTTGAAGTATGCGGTCTTGCTGTCGGGCGAGAAGACGTCTTGGTATAGGAAGTACCCGACTCCGCCCTATATGTGCGTGTTCGTATCAGCGGCTGCCGTATGGGTAGGGGAAGTCTCTCGTGTCGGGAGTGTTCCGCTTACCGTCAGCACCACGCCAGTCACAATGAGGCCGAAGTTGAAGGATTGCTGGGTTGCCCTTGCCGTCTTCTCCCCAGCGGACAATTGATGCCACGGGACTTGCCCGTCGTCGTTGAAGGGCGTCACGGTCCTCCGCCGGGTGGTAGACGTCGTGGTCGTGCCGAGTCCATGCTGGGTGGCATAGCTCCTGCGAGCAAGAAAGGGACGCAGCTGGGGTGCAGGGGCGTTGAGCGTCGTCGGGCGAACAAGGAGCTTCATGCTGGAGGCGCGCCGTCCATCTGAGGACGGATCGGTGGACAGGTAGCTAGCTCGTGGGTCGGTGGGTGGGTGCTCGTCGTCAAAGAATAATATAAAGAGACAAAGCGTTCCTTCTGTCAGTCCACCCCGGGCGAAATCGAAAGCTTCCGTAGCTGCAGGCACGATCGTCACTGCTGTGGGGTCGTACGGGCTAGTCCTCTCTGGTACTAGCTCCCACCTTGGGCTCGGTCCTGGCGGGTCCGGCTGGCCTCTGTGTGGCCTGTGGCCTGTGGCCTGTGGGCGGGCTGGCATCAGGCGGGTGGCAGCCAATTCTTTGAAAGTGGCATCTCCCGAGTGAATATGTGGCCCATCTCCTGAATTCCCGATACCGCCCAAAGAGCCGCCCGACTCAGCACTCTTCTCCTGTCTCCCCCAAGGACTGCATCCGCATCACGACCCGGACGCCCTTGATTCACAGCGTGTGCACACGACCACACGTTCCTCCCAGGCCCAGACCGCTCTCCTTGCTTCGATACTCCCAGCGCCACAACTAGCCCAGGAGGGGTCGCCAAGATGAGCGCACTCGCGACCAAGCAGCAGTCGCAAAAGCTGTTCGAGAAGTTGAAGGGCAAGCAGGCCAACAAGGTATGCACATCGCCCGTGGACGGTCTCGCCCGCCTGCTTACACGCCCCCCCAGATCTGCTTCGACTGCGGCGCCAAAAACCCGACCTGGACCTCAGTCCCCTTCGGCATCTACCTGTGCCTCGACTGCTCCTCCAACCACCGAAACCTCGGTGTCCATATCTCCTTTGTTCGATCGACAAACCTCGACCGTACGTAGCCAGTCGCCTGGACTCGTGAGGAGCCCCCGCTTGCCGTGGACACTGACTGACATGCAACAGAGTGGCAATGGGACCAGTTGCGTGTGATGAAGGTGGGTGGCAATGAGTCGGCCACCAAGTACTTCCGCGCAAACGGCGGAAGCGCCGCGCTTGCCAGCAAGGACCCCAAGACCAAGTATCAATCCGCCGCCGCTACCAAGTACAAGGAGGAGCTCAAGAAGCGCGCCGCCAGGGACGCCCTCGAATACCCCGATGAAGTCGTTATCACCGATGTTCCTGATGCCGACGGCTCCTCCACCCCGGCCGGCGAGCCGAGCGACGACTTCTTCTCCTCGTGGGACAAGCCCGCCATCAAGCGCCCGACGCCCCCCGTCTCCCGAACTGCGACACCTCCTGTCGTGGGCCGGACGCCGTCTCCCTTCCTGACTGCCGGCTCCAACGGCAAGGACATCTCGCGCTCGGCCTCTCCTCTGTCCAAGACGGAATCCACCGAGGCCAAGCCGGCCGCCAGCCGCATCACCACCTCGGCTGCGCTGCGGAAGACTGGCCCCGGTGCCACTGGTGCGCGCAAGACGAACGTGCTCGGTGCAAAGAAGACTACCAAGCTCGGTGCTAAGAAGGTTACCGGCGATCTCATTGATTTCGACGAGGCCGAGAAAAAGGCCAAGGAGGAGGCAGAGAGGATCGCGAAGCTTGGATACGACCCCGAAGCAGAGGAGGCCGAGGCGAACAAGGCTCCTGTTGCGAAGAACGAAGCTAGCAATGTCGTGTCTCCTACCCCTATTAGCCCCCGCGCAGCTGGCCACTCGAGGGAAAAGTCGGCCGCCGAGGTTGAGCGCCTAGGTATGGGCTTTGGCCGACTCGGCTTTGGCCAGGTTGGCGGCGGCAAGGCGGCAGCTGCCCCGGCTGCCAAGAAGAACGCCGGCGGCTTTGGGTCGGTTGGCCCTGTCAAGGCTGCAGTTGAAGGTGAGTGCCACTTGTCTTCCATCACGGATCCCTCTTCCCTGCGCTAACAAAGTCACAGATGACGATGAGAAGTATGCCCGCAACAAGTTTGGCACCCAGAAGGGTATCTCTTCAGATGAATTCTTTGGAAGGGGCAACTTCGATTCCAACGCCCAATCAGAAGCCAAGAACCGCTTGCAAGGTTTCGAGGGTGCTACAGCAATTTCTTCGAACGCTTACTTCGGAAGACCCGAGGAAGAAGACATCGGTGACGATTACGGCGACTTGGAGTCAGCTGCCAAGGACTTCGTTCGCAAGTTCGGTATCACTGCTGGCGATGACCTTGAGAACTTGACCAGTGCCCTCGGCGAGGGCGCAACTCGGTTGCAGGGAGCTATTCGGAACTACCTGGGCAACTAGGTGGCTGTTGCCAGCGAATGGTTTTTATGTTTCTGCCCGGCTACTTTGATCGTTACTATTATGGGCATGGCCAAAACACTCATGCTAAAAGCCGACATAAAGAGACTAGGCAACTAGTATGGCCAGGATGATCTGGATCTTCATGACTCGAGAGGGCCTGCCGATACGGGACTAGGAAATGATATCAACGAGAGCATGAGATTGCAAGCAAAAGTGATGCGGAGGGTAGAAGGCTTGTCACGCTACTCTACTTAATGTTGGTTAGATAGAGAAACAGGCGTCTTTAATATGATTTGTATTCATCTAGATCCATGTTGAATTTGAAAGAGCTAAAGTGCCTTTACTCACTTCATGGGTAAACTATACTGAAATACATAATTTTAGGCCTGCGCACTCCCCAAGTAGTCCTGCCGTCTGGAGAAATAGATCAAGAATCTTGCAAAACACAGCTAGGAATATGGTATGCTCCGATTCACCTGATTAGTTCTGCCGCTGTTAAAAGGGTCGCTCACTGCTTGAAGTTGTCGATGAAGGGCGTCTATTAAAATAATCCGAGCTAGTGTTTGTATGGGGTTTCTTGGCTGCCGAAAGCATCTGATATGAGATTCAGGGGCTATAGCCAAGCAACGAACTCAACGACATCAACAGTGAAGTTTGTGCGTCACCGCACCTTTAAGGTTCCGTTGAGAGCTTGAATTGATTGCAAAATTGACTTTCGTTCAGGGGTTTCGGGTGAATCTGTTCGCCTGTTGGCGTTACAACTTAAAACCCTTTCTATCTACACGTAGACTGCAGATATCCCACATGTCTTGAGGCACGGGCTCCCAGCAAGGTACCGCACAGTCTTTGAGCACGTTGAAAGCCATCACAAATTTATCATAGTAAGATTACCTAACAGTGAGCACACTCAAGTGTGTCCTGAGTTACACGTCCACAGCCGGCCAACCTAGGCAGTGACGGAGGGCCCGTGACTAGGTAGGATACTGGCCGGAGCTTGTACAGGACATCTCACCGTTTGAGGCGCTGACATGGGTATGGGACGGTTCCAATAACTGGAAGAAAAAGGCCCCCTCTGACGAGATGAATACATTTCACAGGAGTGACATAGGTAATAAAGTATTGCATCGTGCAGGCTATGCTAGCCAACACTCTGTCTGTACAGTCCCCTTCAGCCCTCTCAAAGTTGAATGTCAATATACGTGCTTAAGATGCAAGCCTGCCTAGGATGCTACCCACGTTGGGCGCGGAATGGCACTGGATAGTCGGCAGCGGAGCGGATTGATGGGTCAAGGGAGGCCTCGATCCGGTTGCGCCCGCGTACAGTTTTAGAACCCCAGCTTCCGTCGCTGGGGGGCGGGAGCGCAGTAGCATCATCGACGAAATGGTCGCGTTTGTGGCCCGCGAGCACGCGCGGAAGCCTCTTGCACCTGGCCTTTGTCTCAGCAGGGACCGGGTGTCGAGTACGTCGAAAGCAGCGAGAATTTTGACGAGTGGCTCGGAGGTGGCCGCTGCCAGCGCGATCCGCAGGGGAGGAGGGGGCGCCGAGGCTGCGGTCTCCTGGACCAGGCAGGCGAGGTGCTGCTGTCTCGTATTAAGGGGGTGGGGGGAACCAGTCTCCGATGAGTGGGAGAATGCGGGCTGCGAACTGGATGCTCAATTATAGAGAACCTGCGGTAATGACAAGAAAGTAAGCCAGGGAACTACTCGGAGGCCTACGACACTGCTTCTGTTAAATCGATTCGTGTGGCATTGGATACCGAAGCTGTCCGGACAAGCCAGAGAGGCAAGAAAATCTGTAGCTAAGGAAACAAGGGTTCAACGTAGTATCCCGAAGGCTTCACAAAACTCTGGCATATCTGCATATTGGTTCCAGAGAACGCCAAACATGTTACTTAGCTTGGCTGATTATCCCCTGGCCGTCATACACGCGACATGTTTTGGGGGTTGCCAATACCTGCTTAGTCCTTGAACGAGTTTTCGGTCAGTAAAGGTGGGCTAGCCCTCAAAGACCTCAGTGAAGGTACAGCCTAGTCCACGCGTGTCGGTATGTCGATCCCCTTGAGTAGTAATTGCGTATAGGGGCTGTCCGAGAATGTCGCTTACTGGACCCCATCTTGAGAGTTTGATACCACCCCTTGGAGGGATACATTGAGCTCCAGCGGCTTACGATGCTCTAAAGAGGACTTCGTGGTTCGGGACCGAAAGCTATCAGCGAGCCAGCCCTTGCGTGTACTGTACTTCTAATCAAATCGAGACATGGGAGTATCCGAAGCGCCCTGCTGTGATCTCAGGTTTTGCCACTGGATTGCCAAAGCCCTCCGATCCAAGGTTCATTGAAAGGCGAGGGGGAATGCAGAGCCTCAAAGGATAGAAGGGCCACGGGGGACTTCCCTGCACGCAGTCTCTTGCCATTGTTGCTGACTGCCTCGTCTCAGAGGTTTCAGGGCTCCAAGAGCCTCGGAAGTTTGCGTCTTTAGTTTCGCCTGGTGCAAATAGATACTGAGCGATTATGGCGGACCGAATATAGTCAGCTGATGTGCTTCGACCACATCGTGATAGATCAAGTCCCGTGAGTCAAACACGTCCACGGGGCGGTGTCTGGAGTATCCAAGATTCTAGGCCGAGAACCTAGGGCGGCAGCCGGCCGTTTGCCTGCTTCTCGGCCAGAAATTATGTACCAGCCTGAAGGATGAAGGAGGAGCGGTGGTAGGTGTTCGTCCCACGTTACAGATACTTGCGTGCCATGATGTCAAATATAGCGCCGTTTCGATAGTCTGCCGCCCCGGCACTTGGGAATATGATGAGTTTGCCCTCCTCGAAATCAAAGATGACAAGGAGTCCCTTGCAGCGAAGGTAGTGACGGGTTCAACAGACCATTGCCCGCCACGTAGCTCATGCGCGTCATGCGCTGACATGGAACATCAGGGTTGGACAACTTTCGCCGGTAATCAGAGATCACTCGTGAGTAAAGTCAACCTTAGCAGACAAGCTTGGATCACAACAGGGGCCTAGAGTAGGTTGAGATAGTCAATCAAGGCTCACAAACTGAAATTTCAGGGGTAGATGGTATAAGGTGGTCAAATGGCTTCGATGATATGAACCCGATATGGAAATAGGAAGCGAACAATCTGGCAATCCACCTCTTCAAAGGCACTAGTGCAGATGCGAATATAGTACGTTGGAGGATGTCGTGGTTCGCGCCATGCCAATCTGAAGTCGCATTTCAATAAGAGTTTTAGGAATGGTCGCGTCAGCCGATGAACACTCCCAACTTTCTACACTTCCTGTTTGCGGATATTGCCGTGTGCATAGCAGTAAACCCGACAGTCTGGCCTACTGCAGGAGTTCGTTTGTGCAATCATCTGGCCATGAAGGAGGACGCAAGACAGTCAGGCAGTCAGGATGATGCCGAGAAAGCATTTGTTACCAAAGTTTCCACGAGCCCAAATCCCCATATCAAGAATTCAAGGATAATAACTCCCGGCTTCACATGACTGTTGTATTCGCAGGTTATCCTTGCTGCTGACCGTTGACTCAAAGATTTATCACTGTTCTGGTTTGCCACATTACGTCCTATCGATGTTGTGTGCTGGGTGTTGCCGAGCCCCATTGGGTCCGTAGGTTTAATTTCAGGGTGCCCAATCACCTCCGAGGCATTCACAGGTCTTTGAGGAGGGGTTGCTTCTTGCAGCGAGAGGTTCGGGTACGGTCCTCCCTGTGGGACATCAGAGAGGGAGCGATACGCCGTCTTTTCTCAAAACGTGGCAGAGTCTCTCCAACCGCAGACTCCCCTTCACCGACATGGCTTTTTTCGGTGCTTCTAGAGGGGGAAAGCACACAATCAGACCTTTCCCGCGCGACAACTGCATCTGGCGATCTCATGAGCTTTCCAGTGTTTTTTTATGGCCGTTCCCCAGCCAAATTTCGTCACATGCATAGCTTAAGCGAGCACCAATCACCCCAAGATAGGATGCCATCGCCTTACTTCAGTACTCAGGGGAGGACTAGCCCAGCAGATCCCAAGCGCTCACCGCCAGCGATATGAAGATTCGGTGTGCTTACACCCCGATTTGAAGCTGGGGTCAGAGCTTCTTGGTCCTGGCTCAGGATTCTCGCCGCGTTTTCGCAAAGATAGAGAGGCTAGAATAACCGACCATAGATTCCCCAATCACTCTCTACTGAGCAATCGTTCACCCTTCCCTGATGTACATAATGCTAGTATAGACACGCCGCCGAGAATGTATCCGGCTAAGGGCACCGGGCACCGGGAACCCGGAGCTCGTGTGCTTAGGGTTGTAGGCACCTGATCCTAGGTCCGAGAAGACTTCAGGTAAGCAAGTACCCGCGGTGTACCTAGCAGGCCGGCCTGTTTCAAGAAAGATTGCAAGTCGCGTTGCTGATCCCGAATTTGGAACCCCTGGTTCTGCCTAACTGGGATCGTTCCAACGGATCCAACACATTCACCAACAGGATCCACCGTACTGTATGGAGTCGAAAACTCGGTCGCGGCCTTGCTTTCCTTGCTCTTATACGTTTGTGGCTCACAACCGTTAGATTGCGTCTCGTTAGAATTTGTTGGCAGGGACATGGGATAGGCACAGTTGTCCTGCCTCCGCTCGATTCTATGAAACTTCCCGTGGGGCTTTGATTTGCGCGTATGAACATGGCTACCCTACGAATCTGATGAAGGTGCCTGAGGCGGCTCGAAAAACATCTTAATTATAATAGTTCCCGGACTGAAAAAGCTGTGAGCCACCCGCTTGATGGGAAGTACCCAGTATGCCGAGGGTCATACCTTTCCACGGGGTTTGGCGGCCTATAACATGATCGATTTCCAATTTGCCACAATCACGAAGTAAATACTCCTCCAGTAAAAGACACTTAGATTCTGAGACCCCGGGGTTTACTTGGAAAATCAGCCCTGAGTTGAGAAGCGGAAACACCTGGCGTTTCCATGTTTCCGAAATTGTACGGGCGACGGGCCAGGAACTCTACGTAAT